TCGTTCCCGTTGCGTTCTCCGTTCCATCGATGGTGAGGGGGGAGGGGGTAGGGGGGCGGAGAGGGACGCCCTCGAGAATACGCGAGAGAGATCGCGGTTTTCGCTCGTCATCGCCGATCGGTTGTAAGCGCGGGTGGCAAGAAAGTCGATAGTCGGAATAAATATCTCTTCTCGCGCGTTTTGGGCTCCCCGTTATTTGTACCTGCGAGCTACCAGCTGCGAGAGATCCCCGCCGCGATAATTCGGCGTCCCCGATTACTCGTTCGACGAACACCGAGCTTTCACATTTAAATCGGCAGATTAATTAGCGACATTGTCGAAAAGATAAAAGCAAGGCTCCTTTCTCTCTCTGTTTTTATTTTAACAACTTTTTTATCTCTTGTGCCATGTTACTTCTGGGCTTTGCAAAGAAATGCGTAAATAAGACAAGTATTATTTCTGTCACTTATATAGAGATTCCTTTTTTAATTTGAAATTGTTTCTTAATATAAATTTTGAGTTTGCAATTTATACGGCAACTTACAAATATTTATTTAACGTCAAAATGAAAAAAGAATTGGAAAAAAATGTCTCGTTGAATTTTTTCCAAGCAGCAATTTTTTATCGCGAATAATGTTGAATGACGTTACATGTTCGCGTTATTACATAGGAAGAAAAAAAATCTGTCCATGATTAAACACGCTAAGAGCGAAGGGGTGAGATGAACTCGCAGTCCATCATCGCACTCGCGCGAGCGAAGTTTCCCGCTTTAAAAGTTCATTATCCCGGTTGAACACGTGTATAAATAGCTCTCACGCTAGTCGAATATCTCTTTTCGTTAATGAGCGGCCAGAGTTCGTTTATATGCGGCCAGTAAAGTGATTTAAAGGATCTCGATGATGAATGTCTCGCGTAAAGAGAGAAGAGAGAAAAAGAAAAAGAGACGACAGGTGTGCGTGCGGGGGAAAAAAGTGCCGTGTTAAGTTTTCCGGTAAAGTCTACGGAGCCATTTAGACTAAGCGCCCGTATAAATTACGGTCGTTCTCGAGCCCGGTCTTCCTACTAATTAAAAATGAGAGGGTTTGCGCGTAAACTGAATACCGGCGGGAGCCAACCGATGAGGATATCTCCTCGGCTCGGAAATGCTCTTATCCCGGAATGATTTTTATGGCAACGGATCCGGTCGCTTTTTCTCGTTCTCCGCCTCTCACCGCGCCGCGAAGGCCTTTCTCCTCTCTTGTCGGGCCTCCTCGTTTCGTGTCCTGCCTTTTACGGTACACCGCGACCGCTTCGGAAGCCGCTAATTAGGTCTACTCGCCTTCATCTGGGGAACATTTAACCGTGGCGATTGTATTTAGAGGTGAAACTGGGGCCTCGCGGCTCTACCGAAATCATTCTTACCGGAGTAGCTTCGCCTCGAATATTTGCACGACGCGCCTCGATAACGTCTTTTCGCGACTCGCATCTCGAGCGACTCGGCGAAGTCGGCCCGACAGGTGAGTGTCGTGTAACCTGTAAGCCCACGCGTACATACACCTGGAACTTCAATCTCCCGAGAGAGATCTGGGACTATATTTCTTATGGATAACACGGATGTTGCGATATTAATATATAAAACTGCTTGTCAAATAAAGGTACAAATTATTCCCATCTTTACAAGTTGTTAGAAGTATCCATTTTTATATCAATAAATCATCTCGAAACAAGATGTATGGCGAAGATAATAAAATACGCAAACTTTAAAGATATAAGTTCGCAAAAGAAATTAAAAACAATATTTTTATGCGAAACTAAAAATTATCGCATTATTTTTAATCAGCACACAAAAAACAAATTGATAAAATAACACATAAATTTGCAGTTGAGACGATTCTCCGAACTTCCGCATGCCGTAAATTTCACTTCTCATTGAGAAACGAGACATCGATGATGATGACGATGATGATGATGATGATGATGATGATGATGCGAGACCACGACCGTGAGGAGGCAGAGCTCAAACGTCGACGCTCATCGCTTCTAAGGGGCGTCAAAGAAGCAACAAACATCCACCGCGGGGAGACGAAACCCCGACATTTTAGCGGCTATTTCCTCGTGAATCAGAAATAACGGATGTTTATTATGTGCCACTTTCCCTGTCAAGTTCATCGAGCAGTCACGGCATCCCACAGGCGAGCTACAGACGGATTACAAGAAGCATTCTTTTTGCACAGCTATGTACTTAGATGCCATGCAGTAAACATGGAACGCGACAATCGCGGGAAAGCCGGTGATTACTGGATCCGTCGAGCGGCCGTTCTCGGAGCTATAGAAAGCCTAATGGCATTAACGAGCCGAAGCCACGGTCATTGCGCGCGAAGACAAAATTACGTAACGGCGAAATATAAAATTATCTCGGCGCTCATCTCCTGTCGATTATTTGTAACGCTTCGTTAGCGCTAAGTATGTCGAACGAGTCGATCCGCGAGTTTATCTTCACCAGTTTAGCCGTGCGATCTTCGAAATTGATAACGATCTGCGCCGCAAAATGTATACAATGTTTATAAATGTGTACATATGTATTCAATGATTTTAATTAAAAACGTTTCACCATCAGTCGAAATGCAATTGAGCTCAATTTTCGCATTTCAATCGGCGTGTTGATTAAGAGTGGAATTCAATCTCAAATTCAGAATCACATTTAAAAGTTACTTAAAATATAAAAAGTATAAAATACTTAACAGTTGTTCCTTATTTATAGATATCGAGAATACGTTGGTTTTTAAATTTGAAACAATAAAAATTGATTTTTATTCTCAGACCAATTCGAAACGTTAGATATTGTGAGGTATTATTACATCCATTGAATAAAATCCATTGAATAAAATTTTGAGAAAAAATTTAATTATATATATATAAAGTTAGTATAAGATTGAAAATTATAATAAGAGATTTTTGCGAGTTAAGATTCTCAAGAATGTATATTATTTTATTCTTCCATCAATAATATAATTTCAAGTATTTTTTTGTTGAAAAGTTTAATAAAAAACAATCGCAATAGTTTATCATTAAAAACATTTTATTGATGAGAAACGCGAATACGATATCGACAGAAGGGTAATCTGTACGTTATGCATAATTTTATCGGTATCATTTGCGTTACATTCATTATCAATGATAGTAAAATGCCGATCATTAGGCTGTTCAAGATTCATGCAAGTTCCGCGATTGAAGTTTACGCTCGCTCTCTCACACAACTTGTGAAAAAGAGAAAGAGAAAGAGACATGATGCCATACATCAACCAACTACTCTCGTCTTTAATAGCGAAAGGGTAAACTCTCGCCCGCGCATTAAAGGCCGTGGATATGAAATCTGTCGGTGCTGTTCTAAGGCGATAATGGAGCCTGGATGTAGGTACTACTACGCGAGATGCGTTTCGCGTACCACGGAACGATCCGGCGAACGAACCAACAGCCGGGCCAGCGCGCTGGTTCAAGGGAGGTTCGGTATGTTAATTACAGACCAACATACGTATCCCTCTCTCGCTCCACTACGTCCCACAGCCCCTTGCCATGGGTTACCTCGGTTGCCAGCCGATTCGTCTTGGAACGGCCCCCATCGCCGGTCTCGTTGCACGCAGGGCTCGCGTGAGACCGACGAGTCGACCCTACGACCCGAAACGCTCGTTTTGCCCTCTTTCGAACTCGCTGCGAGAGCAGCGCGGTGAGGAGAGCCCGGCTCGTCTCGGCTCGGTTCCTCTTCTCTTAACCGCCTCCTTTGCGCCTCCTCTGATTTCTTCCGTCGAAGGCTAACCTGATCGAGTGATCGGCAGCGTCAGCCGGTGCATCGGAAATATAGCGCGCGAGAAGCGCGGAGAATCGAGCGCATAGTGCGAATTTAGACCGGATCTTTCGAGACGCGATAAACTTTATTTACGTGACGATCTGATATAGCCCCGTTATAAGCTTCTATTTAGTAGGGAAAAAAATGTGAATCGCTACTACATCGAAAACCTCAATTCCGTTTCGAGAAAGATGCTGGACTGTATTTTGTATGTTAAAGTCCTCGCAGATTAATGAGGGGGTGGCGACAACGGCAATCTGATACGGCCTAATCATACGCTTCCATCAAGCATCTATAAACGGAATCAATGAATGGAACGACGGTCTCACCACAGGCCAGCGTCGATGTGAAAATCTTTCTTCGCTCAGTTTCATTCGAGATCGTAGAAGAAGATAGTCATTGAACTGATGTATCTCTCACGCAAGGTGAAATAACTACGATCCATGATAACGACCAGTGAGCTTAAGAGACTAAATCAAAGCTACCGCTTATAACTAGCGCAAAAAATCTCCTTTCTTAAAAAAAAATTTTTTTTCTGTATCTTTAGCCGCACTAACTTACAATTAGATGGTAGCTAACCCGCATTATCGGCTTGGTTCTATTTAAGATTATTGATATAAAAAGTAATGCGCGCGAAGAGCGCAATCCATCTTACACACGAGTGTTGCTCGAGATCTCTCATCAACTCAGTTTTTGTACATTTGGCGAGGAATATGATACGTCCAAGATACGCGATAAATACGTTCCGACCTATCAATCACCTCTCTAACAAGATTCTCTATCTTGAAAGTTTCTCGAAATGATACGTGTTACTCTGTTAATTTTAACCATGAGATCGTAGACAAAGCAATATACACCGGGCCAATTTACCGCGCCCATTCGCGGGATGGTACGGGGAACTCGCGATCATTTTTCCGGTTTTGCGCGAAGGAATGTTTCTTTTTTTTTTCAGCATCTTATCGATCCGCCCATCACGCGCAGTGCTGACCTCAAGATCTTACCCGGGTCAGCCTGAGTCGGGATCTTATTTTTTTGCGATATAACCTCGACCGCTGCCCTCCTCCCCCTCCCCCTCCCGCCCCCATCTCGATGCCGAGGGCAGGGCAGAGAAAAATCGACAATTTGCACCTGCGCTTCTCTCGTTTGCGAAAACAAAGGCGCTACGCAAATTACGCATGTTACACGTGGTGGTACTCACCGCCAAAAGTGTGGCACGTATCCGGCGGGGCACAACTCTCGGCACTGACCGCACGGTGCACCTTGGAGGACAACATTTCCGGACGAGTAATTATTGGGCGGCGCGTCTTGTCCCGGGGACAGCATTCTGAAACGAACACGAATTTACGGTGAGCGTGTCATTTTGGCACGGTCCTTCTTAATGCTTAACCACAATTTGCTACGCCGAAAGTGTTTCTCAACCTGTCCTGCAATTCACAATAAATGAAATTTCGCCGTAAATAAAAAAATAATTCCCTTACACAATATATTTCGTTATATAAAAGAGTAATTTCTTAGTAAAAAGAAAAACCTCAAAGTATTAAAGAAATACATACGTATGACATCTTCCTTTATTTAAATGAAATAAGAAAGTGAATATAAAAAAATCAAATCTAAATTTATTAATAAATCTGGATTAATAAAAATGATAAAGTTTGCTTCCTTATAGAGGAAGTTTTGTTTTCGTGACAACATTTTTTTTCGAGTTTTTAATGCCAATGTGTTCAGAATGTTCGAAAATGTCGAAAAATCATATTCCTAAAAAATGTATGTATGTATATGTATGTACGCGATTTGTTGTGCAACCGCTAACTTCCGCAGTTTTTGAGATATCTAGTTAATTTTTTTTTACATGGATAGAATATTATTAAAGGATAGTTGGTATTGAATTTGGTGAGAATCGGTGAAAAGGTTCATTTTTTATAAAATTTTGAATTTTTGAGAAATGCTTGTATACATTGTAACTTTCGCAAATTTTGAGATATCAAGTTAAATTTTTTTACATCGATAGATTATTATTAAAGGAACTCCCATTAAGTTAGTCCTCCCACCAGCGCTAAATAAGTTTTAACTTACATTAAAATTAGGTGCTAATTAGGTGCTAATTAGGTGCCGAAGTCCGAAATTTGGTGCTCGAACCGTTTGGCAGGAAATTAGATATATACTGGGGGGGGCTGGCTTAACATTAAGCTGGCACCCCCCATACAAAAAAAAATATAAATAAAATAATTATTAAAAAAACAAATACATAATAATTAAGTGCTAATTAAGTGCTCTCAGAAACCGTTAAGATATATCCAAAATAAAATTGTTTTATACCACTTTATTCTTGTACGGCCGTGGACGCGACCGACGTTTAAGTTCGAAATCCTGCCTAAAGAGGAATTTTTTCTATTTGCTACTCTTAATCAGTTTTTGGCCGAAATCCGATCCTACTAGATCGGATGTAGCCATAAAAGCAAAGGAAGAAGTATATTTGTACACGTCACGCGACCAAAGTATAAGAGTAAAATCCTATTAAATAATTAAGTGTTCGATAGTTACTGGTATCAAAATACTCGTTAATTAATATTATGTTAAGATATCTAAACGCCGGATTAAGTGCTCCATCCGTTTGGCAGGATTTCGAACTTAAACGTCGGTCGCGCACGCGGCCGTACAAGAGTAAAGTTATATTAAATAATTAGGTGCTCGATAATTATTGGTATCAGTATACTCGTTAATTAATATTATGTCGAGATATCTAAACGCCGAATTAAGTGCTCGATCCGTTTGGCAGGATTTCGAACTTAAACGTCGGTCGCGCCCAACGCGGTACAAGAGTAAAGTCCTATTAAATAATTAGGTGCTCGATAGTTACTGGTATCAAAATATTCGTTAATTAATATTATGTCGAGATATCTAAATGCCGAATTAAATGCTCGATACGTTTGGCAGAATTTCGTACTTAAACATCGGTCGCGCCCACCGTCGTACAAGAATAAAGTCTTATTAAATAATTAAGTGCTCGATAATTATTGGTGTTAAAATACTCGTTAATTAATATTATATCAAGATATCTAAACGCCGAATTAAGTGCTCTATCCGTTTGGCAGGATTTCGAACTTAAACGTCGGTCGCGCCCACCGCGGTACAAGAGTAAAGTTATATTAAATAATTAGGTGCTATCTACACGTAACTTTCGCAAATTTTGAAATATCGGGTTAAATTTTTTTACATGGATAGATTATTTTTAAAGGATAGTTGGTAATGAATTTGGTGAGAATCGGTGAAAAGGTTCATTTTTTATAAAATTTTGAATTTTTTAAGAAATGTCTGTACACGTAACTTTCGCAAAGGGCATAGCAGGATAAGTATGTGTGTGCTGCCCCCGCACGAATCTCGTCGAGATTTTTACCATAAGTTGGCAGTGATGTAAGAATGAATTTCGCAAAAGATTATATCTCAAAAAAATTTTGTATGTGAGTTATGGGGGTAAAATCGAAAATCGAAAAAACGAGTTTTCTCTTCAATGGGTGAACCGATCTTGACGAAAAAAAATATGTTATGGGGTTTAATGTTTGGGTGCGATGTTTGAAGAAAATTATAAAAAATTTTTTTCGAAAAAAAGCGGTTGAAAAAATATTCCAAAATATTTTCAAATTTTTTTTTTATGGGATGTACTTGAGATACTACTACCATTTTTTACTAAAAAAATCTTTGACTTATCTAGTATAATATATTTAATTTTCAAAACGATCGGAAGGGTATATCATAGTTAGAAAAATTGAAAAGTTTGAGCGTGCCGCGTACGGTTTGCCGGTCGCTGTACAACGGGTATGCAGAGCACCACAGCATTAATTTGTTTTGTCACTTGAACTGTTTCTGCGATCTTCAATTGTTTTTTCTCTCCCGTCGTTTCGTTTTTCACATTCATTTGTTTTCCTGTAATATTCTTACTCTTGGAGTAAGTTATACTGTTTACTGCGTTTTTGAATTGGTTCCCATAACTTTGTTCTCGGAACATTTATTGTATTTTTCGATCTTTGTATGTTTCTTTTGTGTACAGTTCAGGCTTATAAGTAGCATTCTTTTGTTTTGTTTTACTTCAATTGTTTTAAATGCTCATTTGTTTTGATAATACTCATTTGACAACACTCATTTCCATTCGTTGATTTATCACTATAACTAAACGTTGCATGTTATGATTTTCTTATATTTCGAATCATAAAACTAGTGATTTGGCGGAAAATCGCAACGTCGCTCGAATAACCATTATTTATATTTCTTTCACTTTTATGCAACTAGCATCTATAATATTGACAGGAGGGCTTGCTCTCAGAAAGAAAAATTGAAGACGGGAGACCGTACGCAGTTTTTTTGGGGGGTTGTTCTCACATAAGCATGTGTACGTAACCGAGTCTAATATAAGTGTAGCAGAGTCTCGCGAACTGTTGTAATGAATCTGATATGAACAAACTAATAAACGTTATACGAAATTAATATAGGAAGTAAAAATACTCCATATACACTGAACATTAAGGAAGGTGTGTTTTGGAAAAAAAAGCGAATGAGACGCAAAGAAGTAAATGTCAATATTGTAGATGCTAGTTGCATAAAAGTGAAAGAAATATAAATAATGGTTATTCGAGCGACGTTGCGATTTTCCGCCAAATCACTAGTTTTATGATTCGAAATATAAGAAAATCATAACATGCAACGTTTAGTTATAGTGATAAATCAACGAATGGAAATGAGTGTTGTCAAATGAGTATTATCAAAACAAATGAGCATTTAAAACAATTGAAGTAAAACAAAACAAAAGAATGCTACTTATAAGCCTGAACTGTACACAAAAGAAACATACAAAGATCGAAAAAAATAAATGTTCCGAGAACAAAGTTATGGGAACCAATTCAAAAACGCAGTAAACAGTATAACTTACTCCAAGAGTAAGAATATTACATGTAATCCCTATTCCTCCAACAGGAAAACAAATGAATGTGAAAAACGAAACGACGGGAGAGAAAAAACAATTGAAGATCGCAGAAACAGTTCAAGTGACAAAACAAATTATTGTGCAGCGACCGGAAAACCGTACGCGGCACGCTCAAACTTTTCAATTTTTTTAACTATGATATACCGTTCCGATCGTTTTGAAAATTAAATATGTTATACTAGATAAGTCAAAGATTTTTTTAGTAAAAAATGGTAGTAGTATCTCAAGTACATCCCATAAAAAAAAATTCGAAAATATTTTAAAATTTTTTTTCAACCGACTTTCTCGAAAAAAAATTTTCATAATTTTCTTCAAACATCGCACCATTAAACCCCATAACATATTTTTTTATTCATCAAAATCGGTTCACCCATTGAAGAGAAAACTCGTTTTTTCGATTTTCGATTTTATCCCCATAACTCACATACAAAATTTTTTTGAGATATAATCTTTTGCGAAATTCATTCTTACATCACTGCCAACTTATGGTAAAAATCTCGACGAGATTCGTGCAGCACACACATATTTATCCTGCTATGCCCTTTTGGAATATCGGGTTAAATTTTTTTACATAGATATTTATCAATGTTTATCAATTTCTCGTGTTATCCTTTTTTTATAATAAAGTTAATTAAGTGTTTCTTAAATAAGTTTTTATATTTCTGAAAATGTATAATCTATAACGTAAATGTGTAATCTATAACGATTATATAAAAATAAAAAAAGTGTGTAAATTAGAAAATAGCATATTGCTTCTTTATCTTTTTATGTCGCTCACAAAGCTTTCTCTATGAGGAAGCAAAAATTGAAAAATCCGCATACTTAAAGGAGCTTAAACTTTGTGAGATAAAACGATGAGGAAGCAATGTGCAAGTTTCTAATTTGCACAATTCAGCTTGTTTTATCCTTATTACTTATTATTATTTTTATCTTATATATGATTTTAATGTATAATGATTGAATATATAATTGTTGAATATCGTCAATTCGTCTAAAGCTAACGAGAAAAATTTTTATTTAAGAATAAAACAATGTTACATGTCGATGGTATTAAAAGGTGAATTATTTTACTCAAAGTGGATTTAAAAAGAGAGCGGTTAAACACCAAATTAAATCTTTCATGACTTACAATAGCTATAAATCACTTAATTCGTAAGATATTATAATCGAGAGCGTGACACCCTGCCATTGTCATAAAATATTAGTTTGATCATCGCGTGGTAAAGGAATTTCGCTCAATTATCACTTCGGGGATCGTCACGATCAGGGAAATTACCACAAACAGCGCAGAGTCGGCGTCTCGTCACGCCTGAACGGGTTGGGAAATTTGTCTTCTCGCAACGTCGATC